ACATTTTGTATGATGATTATGCAGAAAAAGTAGAATTGGGCTGAAAGATCTATCACTTTATCACCTATTCAGGCTGTAAATCGTGTTTTTAAAAAGTAACTAAGTAACTAATTACTTTTTAAAATAAGTAATCAGTAAAGTAACTGGATTACTTTTTGGGGGAAGTAATCAATAATTAGTTACTGATTACTTTTTTCAAGTAACTTGACCAACACTGATCATTACTGTCACCTGAACTACAAAAGCAGATACAAAGACACAATGCATGTTTTCAGCTCATGCAGGAGGAAGCACACAGGCCTGTTGACTGCTTTTATTTTACCGCAGTCCAGTGCTGCCGACACAAAATCGAAGCTCTACCAAAACATATTACAGAATAGCATCGTTAAGGTTCACGATATTCATTTTATTCTCCTTTTTCTTAGTGAACTTAGTAATTAATTTACTTTCTTAGTAATTAATAAGATAACAAAGAAGATGAAGGAGACGAGCATGGACAATAAAGATGCTGTTTGCTCACATGGCCCCACAGAGTCGTAGATTCAAATGTAAGACACAGAGCTGAACACAAGTCCATTCTATTCTCCTCAGTTTGGCTGCAATGAAAACAAGTATTATAAAAGGATTAGCTACACTCATCTTTGTCGGCTTAGCTTTGCTGACTCATTCCTCGAAAGACGTACTACTCGTATCCACTTCACCCAGAAGTTATGCTGACTAGAGGTCAGCATAAATCCAGGTCAGAGACAAACCCAGACTGTCATGGTGAGTCATCATATTACACAAGATTATAATACCAGTGGTATTATTATTATTATTATTATTATTATTATTATTATTATTATTATTATTATAATAACAACAATGGTTCCCAAATAGCTCGAGGCAAGTCAAGACAATCCTTCAGATTTCGTAGTAATTGACTGGTTCACTTCCTGTCTCTCAGACAGAACTTTTATGGTGAGTATGGATACGTGCTCCATAAAATGACATGTGGTGTGCCCCAAGGGTCGGTTTTAGGCCCTGTACTTTTTAATTTGTATAAGCTCCCTCTCAGCGGTGTCATCAGGAGGCATGGAGTGAACGACCACAGTTAAGCTGATGACACGCAGCTGTACATCTC